GATGCATATCGGTCATCAAGGTACAGATATATACATAGTGAATAACATTGAGCTACTTGTTTTCCAGATACACAATGACTTAGGAGTCATCGTTAGCCAGGACTTAAAAATTACTGCACACTGCTGTGCAACAGTCGCCAAAGGTTTTAAAATCTTATGGTCAATACGTGGAGCCCTTAGTCATTTTGACGATAAAGCTTTTTCAACTTTGTATACAGTATTCAACTCCACCTGTAGCTCTTCTAGATTTACTGCCGGTCCCAAGCCCGGGTAAAGGAGGAGGGTTGGGCATGGGGTTAGCGACCCCATCCCGTAGAAAAGCTAACTCGCTAAAAAACGCTAACCAGAAAAAATAATTCAAACCATTTAAACTCTGCCCTGGCACTTGAAGGAATAATTATGACGTCTCATGATGAAAGCCGAAATTCTTCGGAAGTCACGAGACCGATGCACCTTCTAACAACCAGAGAAACACTCTTTATAGGTACATGGAACGTCCGGACAATGTGGGAGACAGGAAAGACCAGCCAAATAGCAATGGAAATGAGGAGATACAACTTGGCAGTACTCGGAATCAGCGAAACCCATTGGACACAAACTGGACAACAAAGGCTAGGTACAGGAGAGATGCTGCTGTACTCCGGTCACGAAGGGAAAAATGCTCCACACACTCAGGGAGTTGCTCTAATGCTGTCCAAAGAAGCAAGAAATGCACTTGTGGGATGGGAATCTCATGGACCCAGGATAATCAAAGCATCATTCAGAACAAAGAAGCAAGGGATCACAATGAACGTTATCCAATGTTATGCACCCACCAATGATAGCAACGACGATGATAAAGATCAGTTCTATGAAAGGCTGCAATCAATTATAGAGAAGTGCTCACGAAAGGACCTCACAATCCTGATGGGAGATCTAAATGCTTAAGTTGGAGTGGACAACACAGGATATGAAGATGTAATTGGACGACATGGATTAGGAGAGAGAAATGAAAATGGGGAGAGATTTGCAAACCTATGTGCATTCAACAAATTGGTTATAGGCGGCACAATATTCCCACACAAGAGCATACACAAAGCTACATGGATCTCACCGGACCAAACGACAGAGAACCAGATAGATCACATCTGTATCAACAAAAATCTCCGAAGGTCAATGGAAGATGTGAGAACCCGGAAAGGAGCTGACATAGCTTCAGATCACCACCTGGTTGTGGCCGAGATGAGACTGAAGCTAAAGAAACACTGGACAACTGGACAAACAGCACTACAAAGGTTCAATACAGCCTTCGTTCGAGATACTGACAAGCTCCATGAATTCAAGATAACTCTCAACAACAGGTTCCAAGCTCTACAGAATGAACAAGAAACTACTTTGGAGGACAACTGGAAAGGGATAAAAGAAGCACTAACTTCAACGTGTCAGGAGGTTCTTGGTTTTATTATTTATTTATTTAAACACATAAATATTGGTACAAGGAAGCACCAGATAAATATGCGCCTCACAAATCTCATTCGATTTGTGTGAGGGCTGTGATACTGCCCAGGTGCCCAGACTGAAGCAGGTGGTTTTTTAGGGGGCCACACCCGGAGCCTTTGACCTAAAGGTCTAGTCCACAAGGTAGTGGAGCATCGTAAGGAGATGCAGTCCCATGGTAGCCGATGACCAACAGTTGGTTCATACGCCATTCGTTCCTTCAGGATACTGGAGCCCATGTGCACCATTGGTTTGGAATCAGGGTTTTCCAACTCCCCTAGGTGGATCCTCTACATCCACCAACCCGGTTAAAGTGCCGAACATTCGCTTTTCGTCCTCTCATTTTTGTGAACAACACCCCCGCCACGAGAAGGCAGTGAGTAGGACTTCCCTGGCAAATGCTATATATTCGCGTGGCCATATGAGAGCATTTCGAGAGGGAGAGCAGACTCTCCCCACTCTCGGCCGTACCAGGGCATTTGGGGGCAACCCAAGAAGCATCATCACAAGGAATGGATCTCTATGGGAACACTGAACAAAATTCAAGAAAAGAAGAACAAGAAATTAGCAATTAACAACAGCCGAACACGAGCACAGAAAGTCAAAGCACAAGCAGACTACGCAGAAGCAAACAGGGAAGTGAAGAAAAGCATTAAAGCCGACAAGCAGAAATACATGGGAGAACTAGCAACGACGGCGGAAAAAGCTGCAAGAGAAGGGAATATGAAACAACTATATGATACAACGAAAAAATTGGCAGGGAGATATAGCAAACCAGAGAGACCAGTCAAGGACAAAGAAGGAAAGACAATCACTGAGATTCAAGAACAGAGGAAAAGATGGGCAGAATACTTCGAGGAACTGTTGAATAGACCAGCCCCATTGTATCCACCGAACATCGAAGCAGCCCACACTGACCTTCCAATAGATGTCACTCCACCAACGATCGAAGAAGTCAAGATGGCCATCAGACAAATCAAAAGTGGGAAGGCGGCAGGACCTGACAATATACCAGCAGAAGCACTGAAGTCAGACATTGAAATAACTGCAAACATGCTTAACCTTCTATTCAAAAAGATTTGGGAAGAGGAACAAGTGCCAATGGACTGGAAAGAAGGATATCTCATCAAGATACCAAGGAAAGGCGATCTGAGCAAATGTGAAAACTACAGAGGCATCAGTTTGTTATCAGTACCAAGAAAAGTCTTCAACAGAGTGCTGCTGAATCGGATGAAAGACGCAGTAGACGCCCGACTTCGAGATCACCAGGCTGGATTCCGTAAGGATAGGTCGTACACAGACCAGATTGCGACACCACGGATCATCGTTGAACAATCAGTTGAGTGGAACTCATCACTATACATCAACTTCCTTTACTATGAGAAAGCGTTTGACAGTTTGGACAAAAAAACATTATGGAAACTTCTTCGACACTATGGAGTTCCTGAAAAGATTGTCAACATTATCCAAAACTCATACGATGGACTACAGTGCAAAGTCATGCATGGAGGACAGCTGACAGGTGCATTTCCAGTAAGGACCGGAGTCAGACAAGGCTGTCTACTCTCCCCATTCCTCTTCCTTCCAGTGATTGACTGGATTATGAAGAATTCGACATCTGAAGGGAAATACGGAATACAATGGACTTCTCAGAATCAATTAGATGATTTGGACTTCGCAGATGACCTAGCCCTCCTCTCTCATACACACGACCAAATGCAGATGAAGACAGCAAATGTAGCAGCAGCCTCCGCATCGATAGGCCTCCACATTCAAAAAGGAAAAAGCAAGATTCTTAAATACAACACGGAGAACACCAACCCAATCACACTTGATGGCGAAACTTTGGAAGAGGTGCAAACATTCAAGTACCTGGGGAGCATCGTTGATAAACAAGGGGGATCGGATGCAGATGTAAAGGCGAGGATTGGCAAAGCAAGGGCAGCATTTTTACAATTGAAGAACATATGGAACTCAAAACAATTCGCAACCAATTTCAAGGTCAGAATCTTTAATACGAACGTCAAGACAGTCAGTTATACTGTATGGAGCTGAAACGTGGAGAACTACTACGACCATCATCAGGAAGGCACAAGTATTTATAAATAGTTGTCTACGCAAAATACTCAACATCCATTGGCCGGATAATATCAGCAATTGCGTTTTATGGGAGATGACAAACCAGGAAGAGGAAATTAGGAAAAGACGTTGGAAGTGGATCGGACATACATTAAGGAAATCATCAATGTGCATCACGACTCAATCCCTAACTTGGAATCCGGAAGGGAAGCGGAAAAGAGGAAGGCCAAAGAACACACGCCGGGAAATAGAAGCAGATATGAAAAGGCTGAATAGTAACTGGAAAGAACTGGAAAGGAAGGCTCAGGGCAGAGTTGGATGGAGAATGCTGGTGAGCGGCCTATGCTCCTCGACGAGGGGTAACAGGTGTAAGTAAGTAAGTAAGTAAGTATACAGTATTCGTGCGTCCTAAACTCGAGTACTGCATACAAGCGGCTAGCCCTTGCCTTGAAAAAGTGAGACTTTGGTAAAGGTCCAGAGAACAGCAAATAAACTGATTCCCGAAATAGCGAGGCTACCGTATGATGCTCGACTGACTAAGTTAAACGTATTCTTGCTGTCATATCGAAGAACTAGAGGTGACTTGATTAGTTTTTAAATTACTTAGTGATAAATTTGCACCTGATATGACCTCATTTTTCTTATCTTCCAAAAGAGAGGATTCACAAGAACACTTCAGAAATGTTCACAAGTTTGGAGCAAATTACATGTCAGCTGACGATCGACTTTCCCATCTAATCATCAACGAATGGTATTCATTACCTCAACACGTGATTGAAGCTCTATCGTTCTACTCTTTCAAAAAAAAGTTGGGTCAACTGAGAGATCATCATTGCCAGTAATAACACAGGCCAGCAAGCCTCCTGCCCTTTCCGAACTGAAACTGTATATTCTTCAGAAAAAGTTTTACTAACACGCGACATAGAAATGGGTATGGTCCTTAATAGGGAGAAATAATTACGCCAAATATTACATGAAAACCCCATAAATTGTCACATAAATTTATTAGACTAACCTAGATACAACAGTGGCCTAAAACCAAATTATGGGAGTAAGTCAACGATCCAGTAGTGAAATCCTCTGAATGATGCCGAGTGCTTAAAGGTCAAACCATCGTAAAACGATTGGTGCGTCAGCTCGACAATTCATAAGGCTTCGCAGAGGCGGTCAAATAAAGAAAACTTCAGATTTGATGAGTTCAGCCACACTATGTTAGATAATGTCCATCCTTCAGGCAGCAAAATTATGTCGTCCTGATGGTGTATGGCATGAGACAAATCTACAGTGATATTATGTTATCTCTGTGGTTTATCAGTTCGAACAATTTTCAGACATTATTCCCAAACAATCAACAAATGGGAAATAAAGGCCAACAAAATGGAAATATAGAGGACGAAAACGTCCAGTATCTGGGGTAAATTTGTAGGCAAAAATACGTAACTTACGTTATTTGAATATACCACTTTATGTACTTACGCTTTCATAAACCTCTGCAAAATAACTTACTGTTTATTAGAAAAGGAAGGTTATTATCATTAACACAACCAAGAAAATGCTGACAGGGGTTTTCCTTAGATGCATATATATTTGTTTGTTTAGCCAAATTGTTCCGAAGACTTGGTGGCCATCACAAATCGCGTACGTGATGTAGGTGAGTGGCGAAGCAAAATTATTTTCACGACATGAGAGACAAATTACAGAAGTGTCGATGAAGAAAACAACAACATGTATCAACTAATTTAAACTGATAGTTATTCTCTACTGTTCTATAGGTACAGTCTTCCGTGTTAACAGACATAACCGTAAGTAAAGCTTCACGTAGCTAGTTGTGTAAAAAAAAAGATATTGTAGCGGTCAAGAAATCCTTAAAATCAATAGCGGCCATTCTGGATTACCCAGGACCGACCACGATTAAGCAAATGCTCCCTTATGAAACCAATAACCGACCAACTTTATGGAAATGTGAAATTCATTATTCTGGACGACACCACGCGAAAAGCATTTTCCACATTTAAGGAACTTATCGCAAAGGCAACCATGCTAGCACATCAGGACACTCAAGCGCACATCAATGGTGCAGTAGACGCATGCGATTCAACAATCGGAGGAGTCTTACAACCATGGGTTAACCACTCCTGGCAACCTTTTGCATTTTTCGCGAGACGGTTGCTAGACAATGAATTGAGGTATAGCACCTTCGGTAGGGAACTCCTAGTTATGTATTGTGCTGTACGGCATTTTCAACACTCTATCGAAGGCTGAGAATTCAACCATTTTTACTGATCATAAACCCCTTACTTTCTCTTTAAGCTCATCTTCTGACAAGTACTTACCTCATCAGTCTCGATAACTAAACAACATTTCTCAGTTTACATCAGATATACAACACATTTCTGAAGCAAACAACGTAGCTGCAAATGCCTTGTATAACTTCCTTGAATAGCCAATTTCAAGAAATCGACCTTCTTAAACTCACTTTGCTTCAAAAAGAAAACATTGATCTTCAACACGAGTTATCTAGGACGACCCTAAAACTGAGCATTAAACAGATTGGGATAGGTAGGGAAACCTAACTATGTGAAACATTTACAGGTGGGGATCGCACAATCGTACCGAAACATTATCGACTCAACGTATTTAATACGTGGCACAAATTTTCTCACTCAGGTGTTCGTGTATCTATCAAGCTTATGGCAGAACGGTTTCGCTGGCTTCGTGTGAATGAAGACGTGAGGAAGTGGGCAATTTATTGTGTAAGCTTCCAGAAATCTGAAGTGATTAAACACCACAAATATCCGTTAAGCTCGTTCAAAAGTCCTGATGCTCGTTCTGACCATGTTCATCTGAATTCGGTAGAACCTTTAACAGATTCAAATGGATACTCTTATATTTTAACCTGAGTAGACCGTTTCACTCGATGACCAAAAGCAGTAGCCATTAGGGACATTACCGCTGAAACAGTGGCACTCGCCTTTGTCGAACGATGGAAGCAAACTTCGACTGCCCTTCAACCATCACTACAGACCGCGGACGCCAGTTTGAATCTAGACTTTTCCGTTGTCTGATCAAACTACTAGGAATCACCCGCTTCCGAACGGCCGCCTATCACTCACAAGCAGAACGTTTTCATCGACAACTTAAAGCTTCACTATCAGCTACAAACGTTTCACAGTGGACAGACGCTCTTCCACTCTTCTTACTAGGTATTCGCAATTCAGTGAAAGCTGACATTGGATACATTGCATCTCAACTCGTTAATGGGACGACACTTCGACTTCTAGGAGAATTCATGGATCCTTCATTTTCTTCAATGAACATAAAGCTAAACTTCTACACGAGCAGACCTACGAACGCAACGCGTGCAGTTAGACCTGTTTCCACTCGACCGCAATCAACTGATGTTTTCGTTCAACCTAACTTAGGACATAATCCACATGTTTTCGTACGTCAAGACTCACATCGATGACCACTCGAATCAGCATACGAAGGACCCTTCAAAGTTCTTCAGCATGAACCTAAGTATTACATAGTCGATAAGAACGGTACAAACGATAACATCACCATCGATCGCCTCGAAGCAGAGTATTTAGAAGGAAATCCTATCCAAGTCGATTTTCCTTTAGTACAATCGTACGACACGGCTCCTGCACTTTTAATACCTCATCCAACAGTCAACACACATGTTGATACTTCGTCAGTACCGGAAAATAAACTTAAAACACCGCGTTCTGGAAGAAGAGTAAGATTTCTAGAACATTTAAACGGCTGCTAAACGTAAGACACCAGGTAACATTTTGCTTTATCTCGATTTTTCTTTGTATTATATGTAATAAAAAGGTTAATAAGCACATATTTATGCATTCATTACAAAAGAATTTTTCTCAATAGGTTTATACTTGATCTTTCTTCTCAGAACAAAAAACCCGAAATCAGAAAGGCGTTTAAAATTGCTTTTACTCCATCACAGGTGTATGAGTTTATTTACCTTTTTTTCGCCCGCTTTGTGTCTTTACGCGCGTACGAGTGTATTTCGACATGCACTTACATTTTATTTTCCAGGCCGACTGGAAAAGACAATAAGAACGATGTAGTTTACGAGGAACCGAAATTTTCATCGTACTTTGTTTCCTTATTTCTATATTCTACTTCATGGCCCTTTATTGTAAGAAAATACGACCAGACGCTGCTAAACAAAGCAAGCTATCAGAAGACTGTTTATCAACGACAAACTCATTGGGTTTAAACTTCTGACTGGCTACGTAGTAGGGTCATCACCACCCCACAGGAAGATAGATTGGTTCGGGGAAGTAAATAAAAACCTAAATCAATAGCTCTGTAAGTGTTCGACATTGGATGCTGACCACATTAGTTTTAATCGACTCACTCGGTCATATATCCACACCAGATCACCAGTGCTAACGCTGCGCTCAACTCCTTCTGCGATCACTAGCCAATTTAGATCTGCCACACATCCATATATTGATGATCTATCGAATATGTCTTCGAACCTACTCGATTCTGACTTTTGATTTCACTGGGTGGGCACGATTCAATTATAGAAGGTATTACTGGTAATGTGTCAAACTACAATACCTGTAGCATCCTCAATACAGTTATAATTCGTCCTGCCCTTTAAATGCAAGATATAATAAAAAGGAAGTCGGCACATGCTGAACTAAAAACCCATCAACAAAGCGGTGAAGAAAATCCACGATCAGTGTGTTTTTAACAGACAGGTCTTGGAAGCGAATGCAACAAAGGCCTTTGTAGATAGGCCATTCTCCCTAGGAGTTTTATATGCCAATGCTCGTAATCTAAGGAGTAAATTCTATGAACTAGGGGCACCAGTAGACAAATTATGGTCACTCATTTATCTGTGACGGAAACGTGGTTAGTCCATGACTTCGACATTACTTCAGAATTATCCGGAGTGCGCTGCTAAGACAAACTGGTCAGTAGATATTGGCTCATTAGTTGAAGCATTGTCTATATTTACGAGCAAGTTTAGTTCAGTTACATCCACGTTTGTACCTGATGACGTTCATCATAGGATTATGAAAGCCCTATCAGATGTAATTGCTGATGGCCATACTGTTTGATAGTTCTCTGAGGTAGTCCAGACTGCAAAGAGACTGGAAAATCACAATAGTTAGTTCTGCGTACAAGGCTGAGAGTAGAGATTTAGTTAATAACTATTGATGCGTTGGTCTAACCAGCGCAGTTGTAAAACTAATGGAAAAGTTTATTCCGTTGGTTATTACAAACAATGCGGAAGAGCATAATCTTTTATCCAGGAAACAACATGGTTTTCGTAAAGGCCCGTCACGTTTGACAAAACTTCTCATTGCAAGAGAAGATTGGGCTGCGGCAAAAGAGCGCAATATTCCAGTGGATGTAATTTTCACAGATCAAAGTAAAGCACTTGATAAGGTCTTCCACTCGAGTCTTAAACTAAAACTGCAAAGTCTTGGAATCCATTATAAGGCCATAAGCTGGACAAGAGACTTTTTCCATGACAAGATTAAGGGTAAGTGGAGCTCTCTTAACAAGGGACCTGTATAAAGTTGGAGTGGAGTTCTATGAGGTACAATCCTTGGTCTCTTTCCTTTTTATGTAAATGGAATACCATCCGTAGTTAAGTCATCCATTCTACTCTTCACCAATGACATAAGGATACGTAGGTCTGTAACATTATGGTCTACCTCGTTATTTGTACTGCTCCAATAATAGACCTAATCTCAAAATTGTAGATTTGTCATGATCTAACTGCTTAATCTATAAAATTTCACATGGAAGTCGCATCATTGTGTACACTGACTCATCGTATAGTAAAAATCACCAATACGTGATGGAGAACACATTTAGGCTGGAGATAGAATATGTTTAATACGAATAAAGTTGATCAGACAACACACAAGAACAACCACGCCTAAAAGATCGAGTCATGCCGTTCAATGACTTTGAATTAATCCTTCGCGCCCCCCATTTTTGGGTTGCGTATGGTTATGGCCCAATGACACTACAGACTCACTTGCAGTATGTCAGATAGAATAGTATTACAGGACGACCTCTACTAATTGGTGGCACAGATGGCCACTAGAAGAGAATACTAACAAGAGTGTGATGATGCAACTAAATAACTCTTATGATATCACTAAAAAATATGTGAGTTCGTGTTACCCAAAGTGACAAACCATTAAGACTTAGGTGTTATAATAATTAGTGATCTCAAAACTACTAGTAACGATAAGGCTGCTGCTGTGAGATACTATAGGTTATAATGGACTATTTGTAAGTCTTCTCAGTATTCGGAAGAGGAAATGTTTATATTATTATACCCGACTTTCGTGCGACCACATTTGGAACATGGGATCCAAGCAGCGAGTCCTTGTTTCAAATGAGGTGGATATGGTGGAACGAGTCCAACAACATGGGACTAAAATGGTGAAGGGCCTATCTTATGAAGACAGAGACACGTTAACTCATTCCCGTTATCTTACTGTAGAATACAGGGTGATCTAATATTGCCTTAGTGAATCATTGGAATTCTTTATCAGAACAGCTTACCAAAGACGATGTTGCCAAAGTGCAATTACGGTTGTACCCCGGTTGTTAAACTCACATTCTAATTCTTTGAAGTTGGACACTAAACATATCAACGGGATTTTACAGCACGTCTAGCCAAACACTAAAATAAAAATATTCGATGAAAATGGGAATATATCTATGATTTGCTTCAGTCGCAGGAAAAAAGATATCTACTATACTTTAACCGTTCAGTGAAGTTTGAGCAGAAAAACTTAAAGGTAAATTATGAAGGTATACTGTATGTACATTCTTATAACAAAGAAATCATGTTTTACATAGATTCTTCTGAATAGGAAATGGAAGGACTATAACTTGGATGTATTGATTCATGGTAAATATCTTGCTCAAAATCATCATCAAAATCAAGGCACAAGCTAGGGTCGAGTTGACTTGAACTAGTTTCATCTACGATAGAAGAAGGAAAATAAGTTGGGACTGGTGGTGGATTATCGTTTAATTGACGTCGACGATTTCTTAACCAGGAATCGTTCAAAAGACAGTAGGAATGGACGGGCCCTGGTGTTGTACCTGGTACATATATAAGTCCAAGTTTTGGATTAATCCTCACAATCTAGAGAGAACAAATATATGGGAATATAAAAAAATATGAGAGACTGTCTCTTAACGAGTTCAATAGAATGAGAACAATAAAAGCATTAGGTCATAGTTTATGTAAGAATGTAAACTTCCCATTTAATTGGAATCTGAGTTATTTGTTTGCATTTGTGCTCTTAAAAACTACTTGATCATCTTTTTTATATTTGAAATAGTTCTTTCATTACTTTTACGTTAAAGTTTGGGCAATTTCACTCAAAATTTATTAACTATGGGGTTATGAAACTGTGTTGTAAACCCACTCACAGATGGGAGTGAATATAGAAACCGATTGAACAGCCTCGAGCCAAAGAGATTATATTTAGCAAGTATTATAGATCATTATCGATCACATAAACGGCATGTATTCTCGACCAATGGCAAACAGATTAGCTCTATAATGACACTACTTAGCTGCTTAAGGTGAGGTAGCCATGAACAGAACTCAAACTCAGAACCTGGTGTCTCTACTAATCAATATAAAGACCTCACCGAAAAAACCAGACGGTAGGCTCAAGTATTTAGTTCACATAAACAATGAATTCTAACATCTATCGGGTGATAGAACTCGTTGTTAATTGCATTCTTCCTGTGATTATTCGCTAAGCCCCACACCATTTCTGTAGATTCATAAAACCATAATTCACAGTGAAATATTAAAGCACATTATTTTCAAAGTAACTGGATTGCTTGATTATTGAGATTTAAAATTTTATAAAATCAGAAGAAAAAAAGGCAAAACCGTTTTCACTGTTAGATATTATTTACTACTAAGACTAGACAAATTGTACTGGAAAAAATCAGACGTATTTAGGACATTTTTATGGCGTATACAGCTAGATGATATAAACAGTGATATGCATCAAGGTGTTCACAAATACACAATAATCAGACATACATGTTTGCTCAGTATATGGTAGATTTTACCCGGTGTAAAGTGTAGTAAAATCGTGTATATTGATAAATCTAAAATTGGGAGGGATGTGAATTTGAATCTGTAATTGAAAAAAATCATTCAAAAACAAACAAACACAAATCCTCATTTTTATCAAAAGAAGAACTAATATCAGACAAGGATTGCAATAGATTTTAGTAACAAAGAATGCAAAAGTTCATAAGGTGGGAATGATTAATATGATCATTAATAGTGGTAGTAGGGGCAGTGGACGTTAAGAAAATCAAGAAACCATTAGTGTACTATTGTTTAAGGTTGATAAAGTACTTACTGAATAAAATATTAGACATAATTAATGTGCAATGAGCCCTATAACATGTATTACTGAACATATCTTTAAGTATTAACGTGTACATATTCAGTCTTGTTTTTGTGTATTAGTAATGATTGGGAATATTCTATATACTTCCTTTATTTGATTAATTTCCTATAATGTTTTGAGTTTGGTCACCTATTGCGTGTGCTCGCTTGAAATATAATCTCTACATAACTCATATGTTGTGTTTTGTTATATTGAGTCCTTAACTATTGTTAGCCTCTCGCAATAAGACCTAAGAGATACTTATGAATACAATGGGTAGTGTAATAAGAAGACGAAGATTATCAGAGCTATGTGATATAACAGCGCAACACATTTCGAACAATCTGATTACACATACACGTGTTAAGAACACTTATATGGAAAATCAAAAAGTCAGCTAGGCAAATGTAAGAGGAAAAACGATTATGATAGAGAAAATAATGCGAAAAACAATATGAAAAAAATTACGCTGGATAATGAAACAATACTACTAGGGTAAGTCTAAGGTAAGAACAAACTGTTTTTGAATACTTAAAGGGGGGATTTTTGTATGGCCAAAGCTTCAATAAACCTTAGTATAAGTCCTTAAACACTTTTGTACAAGACCACAAAAGCCGAGTTAAGATAACTCTTAAGATCTGTTTCAATTGTATTTGGCAATAGGGAACGATGGATATTCATCATCTACTGTAATTTGATCTTATTTGTTTTTGTAACCACGTAAGTACATGTTCAGATACCCTAATTTGCAGATCACGATTACTCATCCCTATGTATGTGTGGCCACACACACATTTAAGTCGGTAAACACAGTGGGATGTGACGCGATTGTTTATGTCTTTTAGGTTTCAGTGAAGCATGAACCTTGCTTTTACCATGATAATGGTCTTTTCTGAGTAGTACGTTTTGCTAACAACTAATTTTAGCTTTTGTTTTTAATACAAGGCTGTTTAACTTACCACTGAAAGGTAGAGTAGTGTACACAGGTTTTTTGAGCCAGAAATATAGTAGATTTCACTATACTATGATCTTTCCATCAATTTATGAATTTCAAATAAAAACCATGTTCCGTCAATGTTTTGTTCAACAATTTCACGTTATGTATTGCACCAATATACCACATAGTTCTAATGATCTTCACCTTCTTACTAAACTATCCAAATATATCTAAGGAACTAATTGCTTTAAATGGACACTGGATTATATATTCTATACTAAATAGTCGAATAGCATTAGTAGCAGTTCCTATATAAACGTAGAACCTGACACAAGATACTAGGAAATTTCTACTAGAATCACAAATTAGAAATAGAAATCTCAGTAACTCTAAAATTGCACTTGATTTATTGCGTTCATCTATCATCGAGGAAATACCACATGTAAATCAAACCATCAGAATGGTTGAGTGACGTCGAAAATAAGATTAAATCAAATAAATAATAATTTTCATCTGAACAAAAATTCAGGTCTATTTACCAATAACTAATTACAAAATCATTTCGAGCGATTGCTTTACAGTTGTAGTCCATAATTGCTAACCTAATCATAAGTGATGGATACGATCAACGTTTATCATCCCCTAATTTTATAAAGAAACTAGTGATCGTGAAGATTCGTTTGCTGTATCTGGCTGATTCTGTGTTGTGACTAGTATTTTTTGTTAAATGATATCGTTTGGTACATAAAAAGATACTGATATAGTTGACAGGAATTAAGCCTAATAGTCAAGTTTTTGTTTTACTGGTGACTGGATGACTTCGTTTGTGTTGATAATTAAGTCTCGTGAGCACTTAAAACTCAACAACATTGTACCATTGTGCATTATCTATCTATCTATCTATCAGTCAGTCAGAACTCGACTCAAATATGCTAATTATTATAAAGCCTGAGGACTTCTCTATGACAGAAACATCAAAAGGGGTTCGTCTGAAAACATTTATCTTGCATTTTTTAAATATTCATGATGTATATTACATCACACTGAGTTATACCTGTAAAGTTTACATCACGGACTAACCCTAATTACAAAATTAGTGAAAGCGAGGAAGCACTGGATAGCTAATTCGTCCTAGTACGAGACTCCTCAACAATGTTCACCCATGAAATCATCAGGAATCAAACTCAAGATATTCAGGCCAACTATCTCCACAATCCCTTATGGTTAACTATATTTATCCTTATGAGACAAACACATAGAGGATTTTACAATTTTTTTTAATAAAACAGAACTTAGCTTACCATTACACCACGTAAGCTTCTGAATCGATTACCCATAACACCTGCCATACGTTTGCCTCGCACGATTGGTCCCTGAAAAATGGAAGAATAATTTAAATTTGATCAGGAGAAATAAAGTAAAAATGTGCAAATCATATATACACATTCGTGATATGTGATAGTAATGTGCTACAATACTGATAATCGCATCTTGAATTAAGATATATCAATAATAATACTTCTAGTATACTGAGATATACGAAAGTAGCGGATATATATATATATATATATATACTGATTGATCACAGAGTAGTGACCAGTGTTATGCTTGTTTATTTACTAATACTAATCGAATGCTATCGGTCAAACATAGAGCACATAATAAAAAGTCACTTGGACTGGTGAATACATAGTGGTTTGATTTGTAGAGCTTGATCAACGCCAACAAGAGACTAAGCAGACATGGTATTAGCTACTACTCAATGATCAATCAATGAAAAATTGTCAATCCTATAAGTCAGTCGTAACCCAAAATAGCAGTGTTCAGTCAGTCATCTTGAGTGCTGTTAGAGGTATGACGGCAGTTATAACTTCCCGGTTACCCACACCGTGGAAGGGTTCTTCTAGAGGTACCTGAAAAGGAAATTGGATTAGAAGTGGTCTTAATGACCTGAGAGTGTGACCGTAGTGCCCAAGGGACAACAGCTTGAGGTCAGTCACACACGGCCTTTTTGTGTTAGCTCCGTTCTTCAAAGGACCTTACCATCGGAGACGGAAATCCGTGGGATAAGGCGATGTGTGCATTTTTAGGGTCGACCTTTTCTAACCCACCCCTCCTTGTGGAAAGGCAGCATCGCTGTTATGCTGGTTGTCTGAAGGAAACACCTTACTGCTGTCACACTTCTGTACAGTTAGCAGTACGACTTCACCTTCGGACTTTGGGTTTGCAGCTTTTAGTCTTACCGCTCTTCAACCGACCTGTCTGGCATGGTAGGACTTTGAGGAACGGTTGTTCCAGCCAGTATAGCTCGATTGGTTCATCATTATAGGCAACCCCGACCACCACATCAGGGTAGCAGCAACGGTCGGGAATAGCATTGTTAAACGTCCCTAATTGTAATTTTTGAGTGACGCTTGTTCGAATCTTACAAAGAGGTAATTAATTTGAATGATTGTCCTACTTACTCCACGTCCTGCAGCACTTCCCATTCTACGATGAAATTTAGTAGAACCATGAGCAGCAGGTCCACCTTTCATTCCCCAACGTTCAATAACACCTTCAAAGCCACGATTAATGCTGTAGGAAGAAAGATACTGAGTTGAAACTAATAGATAAATTGTAATTACTGTACAGAAATAGTTTGGAATTATCTTTTGAAATTCAGATAGCAGTTTAAAACTACTGTTTTGTAAGGGGAAAAACAGTACAACAATACAATACTGTCAAATTGATGTTAGTTAGGTTAGGTTATTTCTTTCAAATAAGTTGTCAATAATTCGATAATGTAGAAAATATTGATCTCATAACTGGAATAAATTTCATAGGTCACCTCAAACTATATTCACTTAACTTCCAGTTCCTATTTGCATGCTAATTTACATTTGCGTTTTTAAAACGTTAACTATTGTGAAATGCTTTTCTCCCTCAATGGTCTGTTGACTTTTACTTACTCTCTTGTTCTAGATTCTTGTCTTGACTGAATGGATTGATATCACCAACCTAAAGTACCCCTTTTTCCAGTCTCTCGGTAATAAACAGCCCAACTTCAAGGTAGATACAGATTTACTGATGAAAAGCATTTATTACATGACGGTGGAATAATCTCCATCTCAGACCAGCCACCTTAAATTATTTGGTAGATACATGGAACTTACTAATTAAACACAAGTTGGTCTACTAAACATTATGACTACACTTGATATCTGATGGTCAGATGATACAATTAAGCTACTGAAAGCTCTCGGTAAAGGGATGGTGTTTAAACCCGTGACACTGAGATTCGAATTTGAGTGTGCAAGTCAATGTATCATGGAATGAGTAATAAAGAACGAATGCATTCATACCAAGAAAATAATGATAATGTGTTGAAAAATACATAAAGTAGTTTGATATCATATGAAATAAGACTGACTGATACGTTTCGAACAAAAAAAAAGGCTTTTGAAAAATTTATGGTCCGTAACAAAATTACATAAACATAGAAATTTGACTTTCAAAAAAGAGCAACTTACGTTCTTGCAGTTATATCCAAATAATCACCCACACGAAAATGATTCACACTCAAAGGTGTTCCTAATTTAAGACAATAAACAAAATTCACTAACTGAACTCCTTTGATAAAATGTTACACGATGAATAAATATTGAGGTTTCTGTATTAAATAAATGTATTTAGTTTATATTCAATATCACTTAGTCAATCATAAACAATGTAGGATCCGGAATAAATGTAAACGAGTTCAAGTTACCATATCATATCAACAGTCAAATGAACATACCAAGACGAATGTCACAGTAGTATATGTAGAAATAGTATCAATATTGCATGCCCTCGAATGCCCTGGTACAGCCGAGAGTGGGAAGAGTCAGCTCTCCCTCTCAAAGTAATCTCACATGGCCACACATATACGGTCACTGTCAGTGAAGTTCTACTCACTGCCTTCGCGCGGTGCGGAGAGGAGGAAAACCGAATGTCCGGCGCCTTAAGCAGGTTGGTGGATATAGAGGATCCACCAAACTAATGATGCACATGGGATCCCGGATCCTGAAGGAGCAAAAGGCGTGTGAACCTATTGTTGACTATCGACTACCATGGGACTGCATCTCGTAAAGTTGTTCCACTGCCTTGTGGATTAGACTTTTAGGTCAAATTGTTGGGAAGTGGCCTCCTAATAAAGCCATCTGCATCTGTTTGGGCAACCGAGCGGTATCACAGCCTTTATACAAATCAATGATAACTACTACTGGCCTCATTGTTATTCAGTGGTGCCCCCTTGTACTAATATTTGCGTGTTCAAATAAACAAATAAGTAAATAAAACCAATAATGGGTAAAGGGACTAAGCAGGACAATATGACCGGAGAAGAAAGAATGAATTTACAAGATAAAAAGTGTAAGATGGTTTTCAAAATCAATATCTAGGGAAATATAAAGAACGAATGAACTTAAGTTATTGAGAGCGGTTTTGAGCCATATCACTAAATTTCTCCAACCACGGACTGAGGCCACGTGGTCTCCATTTATCTACAACACCCAAACAGGTAGTCAGTGAATTCATGAACTGATTTCACGTCTTAGTTTGGTCGTCCTTATCTTTCTCTCAACCTACTCCCACATTGCCCTGACAGAGGCGTTGGTTCGGTACACGTAGTAAGTGTCAGCCCCATTTCTTTATGAAAACATACTACCTTACCAAGTTGCTACAATTTACATCAGTACTACAAGAAGAGATCAACAAGATGTATTGTTAATACGCACAAGTAATAGTAGTGTCAACGATGATAAATAAACACAAACATTTTATTCAGAAAAGTAAGAGATAGAAAAGAAATTAATTGGGGTATAAATTCGGATTTATTTCCCCCCACCCGACTAACTAACTAACTATCAGATGAAGTTATCAGAATAACAACTCTATTATGATATTTAAGGAGAACATAAATAGACAAACAGGGAAGAAAATTGAAAAATCAAAGATAGTTAACTCATTGATCTTAAAGATAGCATTCGGTAAAAACCAATATTCAGTGGTAAGTGTTTGGAAAAGAAAAAAAATGGTTGTTTTATATTAGTTTTGGCTGAAAATTTTCACAATCAAGTTTAGTTCCAAACAGCAGAGAGCTTTACAAAGAAGTAACTGGTTTAGAGATTAAAAGTTATCCCTTTTTAGTGTAAATTAATTCACGATAACCAAAGAGTCAAAACAATAGAGACTCATTGGCTATTGGATGTTCGGGTTAGGCAAAAGCTGGAAAATGCTGATTAGTTCATTTTCAACCGAGCTAGGGGAAAAATCGAAATGGTAAGAGAATCTTAAGTATATTCTATATGAAATTGAATGTTTCTACTAATATATCTTTGTTGTTGTTTATTCCAATAAAAATTGTTCACTGTCAATTCTTGTCCTGATTCGGGACGTATCGGGTAAAATATTGTGATCAGGGAATATTAAATAGTATCTTTGACAGTGATGATCGGATATCATTAGTTGAATGTTAATATTAGACTAGACACCTAAGAACTACAAATATGGATCATTAGAAGTATGAATAATACTCAGTCCTAAGCTAAGAAAAATTTCATCTGCAATTACTCAGTGTTAAATGAGGTTTCAAGAAATAGCGATTTATGAAGAGAACTGTAAGCTTTGTAGAAGCTGACTGGTTGCAAAATTTCATGTATAAAAGCAAATACAATATGTTCATAGGACAAATTTTCAACAGTGAGCTATAACAAATTACCACGCTAACGATCTCATAAAAACACAGGTGAATCAATGTTTTGGTAAATTAAACTTTAAAATAATAGGTCACTTTACTTCACAACATGAAATGAAGTGGCTTGAGAAAGATTTATTAATTAATATGGATGGTAGGATATCCGTGCTTGTTGTTGCGGAAGTTATGAGTAGATCAAACAAATTCTAATTAACTAACCAGGTTTTAAAGCAGCATCTGGGCTGACCAAAAAACGAGATATTTTACGCTTCGGTGGTATACCAGCTTCTTTAAATAAACCACACCACTCAGAAGTGAACTCGATAGGGTCAGCAGAAAATGCTCCAACCAATTGTATACCCCAACGTTTTTGAGTTATCCAGGAAGGAGGCCGTTTATTATTTAACCAATAATGACGCGGATGTAGTAGGCTGATGTATTTGTCGATCTCTGAAGGAGGTGTATAACGAATAGCATGATTGTCTGGGATCTGATAGAAAAAAATTTAGAGATAAGAGTAGGATGGTTAAATAGGTGTTATTATAGATGTAGTCCACTACATTCGTAAATCAGCAAACTTATATGCGCAGAATAGCTTCCGAATGTTAAAAGCTAAATATTATGTTGTGTCATTAAAACAGTGAAGCATTTTGTTTAATGGGATTATTTTAATCAATAAAACTCAGATCATGTTTATTAGTACTTTTAAATATTATGTCACTGAGGATTTTAAGTCGTTTTCTTACAAGTTTGTTAAAGACAAACAGCGTAAAATTCTGTTCAAGAAAGCATTTATTTATTTATTTGAACACATAAATATTGGTACAAAGAGGAACCAGATACATATGCGTCACACAATAACAATGAGAATGGGAAGAGATAAAGGATGTAAGGTGCGTATAAGAAAAAAGGGAACAATAACAAAATGAAATTAGTGTATGATGGTGAAATAATAATAATAATAATAATAATAATAATAATAATAATAATAATGAGAGGAGTTCAGTTAGAAAAGATACAACCAGAAAGAATTCTTTCAGTCAAAGAAGTTTCGTTAATTTTTTATGAAGAAAGTAACATAAAATTACAGCACGACTGCCAGTGGCTTCTATTCTGAGCCGTATCTCTCTCTAGCCACTGTGTTGCACCATCTCTTAGACACCAGCCAGGGAATCGTGAAGGACCAACAGAAGCTAGCCCTTTGAAGATTTCTCTCATACCACGACACCATTATTTATTATTTATTTAAACACATAAATATTGGTACAAGGAAGCACCAGATAAATATGCGCCTCACAAATCTCATTCGATTTGTGTGAGGGCTGTGATACTGCTCAGGTGCCCGAACTGAAGCAGGTGGTTTTCTTAGGGGCCCATGCCCGGAGCCTTTGACCTAAAGGTCTAGTCCACAAGGTAGTGGAGCATCGTAAGGAGATGCAGTCCCATGGTAGCCGATGACCAACAGTTGGTTCATACGCCATTCGTTCCTTCAGGATACTGGAGCCCATGTGCACCATTGGTTTGGAGTCAGGGTTTTCCAACTCCCCTAGGTGGACTCACCTTGTCCACCAACCCGGTTAAAGTGTCAGACATTCGCTTTTCGTCCTCTCACTTTGTGAACAACACCCCCGCCACGAGAAGGCAGTGAGTAGGACTTCCCTGTCAGAGGCACCATGTCATACACTGACCTCCTCTCCGCTTTTTCCAACCAGTCCGAGGGTCGGCAAATAATGCACGACGTGGAAGTCTCTGGGACGACATTCGTAAAACATGTCCAAGCCACCGAAGTCGGTGTTTCAAGATGGTGACACCAATTGAATTATCGTCTCTGAGCCCAAACACACGATGCCGGACTTCTGCATTACTAACATGGTGTTGCCACTGGATGTCAGCAATCCTTCGGAGACAACGATGATCGAACACAGAGAGACATCTAACATCTTCAACTCGAAGAGGCCAGGTTTCACAAGCATAGAGCAAAACTGCTCTCACCGACGCGTTGTAGATCCGACCTTTTACAGGCAGACTAACATCACGAAGGCGCCAAAGATGGCCCAGATTGGCATAAGCCGCTCTGGCTTTCATTATATGTGCATCAATCTCATCACTCACGCCCCCACCAGCACTTATGTAGCTACCTAGATACATGAACATCTGGACTACTTCAATCTGCTCACCACTCAGGGTGAGTACAGGATTAGAATCATGTCAGTCTTGTAGAAGTACTTTACACTTTGAAAGTGCAAAGCACATATAACGAGGAGACATCGTTTCTCACGCCGATTTCCTCTTACTTTGATGGAGATTTCTAATAAACAGCACATAACCGACTGTTAATAGGGATCTAATCGATCAGTGCTGCCTCAGCTCTAGCGCTTATTGCGACACCAACGCCAACAAGACCAGACGAAAATGCCATAGAGTCCACGGATAAACGCACTTGAAACAAGCTTTTCGAATCAATCGTTGCAAGAATTGATACAGAGATAGTCGATATATCCATATTAACGTCTATAAGATATGGCACATGCTGATAATTAGTAAGTTTATCTATTGCCAGATTTACAGCTAATAGAAAACACCAAATGAAGAATTACTTGGCACTTTGCATCGCGTGGAGCTGAGTCAAGTTTTTGAAGAGATTTAAGCGGGGGACGTAGTTAGCGAATTGAGGTACGATATGTTAAAAATCCCAACAAGATATTCTTGGGTGAAGAGGAAACCAAAAATAATTATAACATAAATGGTAGGTGTTAGTGGGATATAGATTGGATTAAGCATGTTTTATGCATGATGGTGTTGCTGCGCGCTGATTGGTTAATTTTTAAACCGATCAGCCCGGGCATATTATTGCAGAAAAACCTATAAGCTTCTTATGTATATACTATAAATATATGAACATTATTTAAACTATTGATTGCTGTTCATTTATTATTATTATTTTGAATACAATTTCATTCCTGTTCAACGTGTTCTGATTTTGGGGTCTTGTCGAGTGTCATCGTATAAGAATACTAAGCAATATGAATAGCTGGATCGTTTATTAGCAAAAACACAATTATAACAGTAGGGTAGATGAAATAGACTAATTTTATGCATGCTATTTACTTCTTTGGCATTTTGAAGGTCATGTACATTATTGGCTTAGGATAATGACTTTTAAAAGCTTGGAAATATACATATTTCCAAATATTGAACTGGGCTGGCTGAGGTTTTTAGGCCTATTATGTACCAAGTTTGCGTAATCAGTCAAATAGAAGTATGAGTAGACTGTGTGGAGTAGTGGCCAAAAAGTTAAAGCGCTTGACTTTCAACTGGTGGATTTTAAGTTTGAACCTTGCAACAATGACTTAAATTTAGGAATTCGAAGAGTATCACAGACATAAAAATGTTAGATATACATGAATGGCAGACAAAACGTCAAATTCAATCTTTATTTTACTATTGCCTAGTTAGATTGGTTGCGAATGAAAAAATGACGTTAGTAGCTGAGTCACTTAAACTAATAAACCCACCTGAAAAATGGTACAGTCCATTTTCTTTCCAGTTTTAGTCCATAGTGGGTATACTCCTAACTTGATTGCAATAAGACCGCATCTTTGAGTAACATAGGGTGTCCAAGGTACTTGTGTCCATTGTTCGGTAATGATAGGGCTTTTAGAACTAGATAATGGATCTAAACGCTGCTGTTCTAAAAATTTCTTGTTTTCTGGCGTAACGTCTTCATCTACATAAGGACTGGCCTCTTGAGTCACCCAAAATGGCTTTTTTTTATTCATCCATGGATAAACAACTTTGTTTAGGCTTCCCATCAATCTTACAGGTTCTCGATAAATGAACTTAACACTCATTCTACAAGTAGTGAGAAAACAATATCAGCAAACGCCATAAGCGTACCTGATGAATGATCCACCAAATACTTCGAACATTATTCAATATTTTGAAATGTGTGGAATGACAAATCTTCCCGAAGGTTGAGTAATTAATAAATAAATGGACCTGTAAATATACTATTAATTAATCTGAAAGAGATATTTAAAGACATAAATGTATCAAACAAATTACCGTTAAAGAAAATTTATTTTCTTGTAAAACGGCTGTACAGGAAAAACCAGAACAAAGAATGAAACACTGTTATCACAAGGGGGTACACAAAAGGAGGCCCCTGATGAAAATGAAGACGCCTTATACGCTTGTACATAACAACAGTTTATGGACGAAATAATGAAAATAAAGACAGAAACTCTGTGATTTTTGTGCAGTTTATACATCCATAGGCCAGATAGCATTTTACATAGTAGCTGACGTCAGTTCGTGATAGAAAAAACTCAAAACTCTCAATCACAATCCTGATTCTTCACACCTTTGACCCTGGTAAGTTGATTTTTTCAAAACCATTAAAAACTGACTGAATCACAAGCTCCTAAAAAAGCAATTAATTTTGATCCGTTTTTGGGACATTTCCATGAAAGTCGTTTATGTGGTGGGAGAGTGTGAGGAGCCGTGAGGTAATTTAAGGTAAAAGAAAAAGATCACAAAGCACATCGAATCCACTTACATTTATTAACGGAAGCAGTCGAACACTTTCAGAAAGAACACATATGTGAGACAGACAATCCTGTCACTTTTCAAGGCCACAACTTCAATTTCATTATCATATTAAAGATACAATGTCCAATATGCATTTGCAATAACCTGATTTCAAAGATTATTTACTGGCATTTGACGATTATGGTATTGTGTCTTACGTAGAATGGTGGTATTAATTTTGAAGGATGAGAGATGAAAGGATTTTAATAACAGTATTTTGTTCGTTCCAGGCTTTTCTGCTAGCCCGCTATGTCCATGAGATTTTTCAATCTATTGTGTAGAAAAATAGAGGACATATTGAGTCATTAATCACTTCTTAGCACTCGTTACATCATATTCAGAGCATTTATCAATCTGCGATAAAACAGAGTAAAGAGGTCAAGCCTTTCAAGCCGCTCTTTGTATGATAAATCACTGAAGTCAGGAATTGTACGGGTAGTCGACTTCTGTACATTTTCACGATATCCAAGTCACTTTTTAAACAGGAGGTTGCAGCCTGAATGTAGTTTCCAAACTTAGTTTTCACTAAGGTTGTGTATACTGTTGTGAACATAGTAGTATCTAATGTACTGAATGTCCGTCTGAAAACTCATAGGTTTTCAAACCCCTTAGCTATAATCTCCCGGCCGTGGGTTGTGAGACCGGACCATGGGTACAGACGCTTCCTCCATTCTGTACCTATTTGCGTTTGTATCCCCAAGGTGCATGTTGACACACTTGACCGAGTTGATAGGCATCAGCCATTTTTTAGACCAGCTAATCAGAATATTTAAGTCTGCCTGAAGTAAGCATGAATCTGCGTTCCCTGTTATGTCTCGCCAGTTTTTTACACCATCAGCTTATAATAACACTAGAGACTCAACCAAACTTGGTAGATCATTTACACACAGTAACGAAAGCAAAAGACCTATGATAGAACCTTGCGGTACTCCACTAAGTACTGGTCTCCAGGTGGAGCATTTCGAATTTGTTCTTACTTTTTGTCTACGAACTACCAGGAAATCCTTGAATCATTTTAGATTGAGCCCGGCAACTTCTGAATTTTCCAGCTTCAAGAGCAGTCTATTTTTCGGCACCTTATCAAACTCTTTGATGAAGTCTATGTAGACAACATCCACTGATTTTCCATTGTCTAGACCCTCTACCCATTGTTCACTTGCTATAAGGAAACTTATTGTGCAAAATAAACCTGCTCTGAAACTATGTTTTTCACTGTTTAATAAGTGTTGGTTTCCACGAATGTCATCATGGTCTTTTCGACTATTCTTTTCATAATTCTAACTATGACACTTGTGAGGCCGACAGGTCCATAGTTTGATGGAAGTTGTTTTGGTCTCCTAAGTATTGTGGCTTTCCAGTAATAGTCTTTAAAAGTTATTATCGTAGTTCTAATTTGTATCATCCAGAACACCTATGGCTTTTGACTTAATTTCTATTTAGTTGTTCTAATAACTATCCCTGAAGCCAAATAATCAGAAACCCGGAAGATCAGTAATCAAGTGGTATTGTAATAGATCACGAGTATGTGGCTTTTATCAATGGTGATGTCTTTAACCTCTCCTTATACAAAGATCAAAAACCTGATAAAACCAGAAGTAGAAAATGGAGGGAGAGCAAAAATTATAACTAGTGGTGGTTATGTTCAGTTGTATCCGATCTAAACTAATTAGTTGTAAGTTATTCGAAGCAGGGCGTACCCAAACACGTTCTCAATGCACGTCCAGGTGCCTTGATTCATGGGTGTATCCAGAAGGATTTAGAGGGTTGGTATCAACGTCCAAGACTCATAAAGCAAATTTTGAGGATTTATGTTTCACTATATACTAACATAAATATACGTTCACGGGTAAGAAAATATAATATCTGAGATATTTTCAACCAGGTTCTCACAGTCAACAAGTGGCTGAAAATGAGAATAGATTGATTTAATTTGCGTTTGACCATAAAATACTTGCTTGCTTACTTACGCCTGTTATCCCACGTGGAGAAGCATAGGCCACCCACCAAAATGCTCCATTCAAACCTGTCCTGGGTAGCCTTCTTCAGTTTTTTCAAGCTGCTATTAACCCTTTTGATGTCTGCTTCCAATTCGTGTCGCAGTTTATTCTTCGGCCTTCCTTTATTCCGTTTCCCTTCAGAATTCCAATTTAGCACTTGGCTCCTGATGCAGTATGATTTTCGTAATGTATGTCCTATCCAATTTCAATGTCTTTTCTGATACATCTTCTAGATTGAACGCTACTTTGCTATGTCTGGTCGTCGCTGACTATTATGTCTAGTCGCTTATCACTTATACTCGAAAAACGTGGTACTACTGCAATTTCCACGAAGCAAAATAAGAACACAAAGACTGATACAAGTGAAGATTCAATAAACCCCAGAACATGACGACGACCCCAGTTGAAAATACACTTATTTATACGTTGATTGTACATCCATTTCGACTATTACGTATCGTAAAATCACATACAGGAAAAATATAGTTATGACAAATCATATACTGCATGTCTTGCTGAGCATAACTCATGGTAATTTAATACAAGAGTGCCGTATGTTATAGAGAATAAAATATCATACGGGAAAACAAAACAAGTACTCCACTGAGTAATCATCGCATTGAATTAAAACAGAAGTAATGTTGAATAAAATCATAATGAGTAAATCGATCTAATTTTGACTTTTCTTCCCGTCATATCACCTCCCCTTTCTTGAAGACTGCAAGTTTAGATCCTGAATTCAAATTTTCTGTCTTTATCCTCTCCCACGAAATAATGTTGGATTTTTATATTCCTAAGTTACAATTAATGTGACCTTATTTAAAACATATTTATAACATCAAATAGAGAAACCACTAAAAGTGACTAATTAGTGTGGATGAATGAAATTTGATTTGAGGTCATCAGAGTTTGATTCTTCTAAAAAGTTCCCACCACATTTATTGAGAATCCCATTAGTAGATAATGGATCGTAGGGTGAATCAGCATCTATGAAAATCGCATTGGGTTTATGACCATCATTTGACTCATCCGATATATTTTTTTTTCATTTTCGTAAGAAATTTCATCAAAAATATGTGAATCCTAAGAAAAAACTGTATTTAGCAAAACAATTAGAGAATCTCGATAAGTAGATTCATCAGAAACTTTTTTCGTAGAATGATCAATTTAATTCGATGCAACTGTGTTCAGTATCCTGCTCGATTTGCTTTCTTTTCGTTCGTGTGCGGTTGCTGAAACAATTTCATGGGTATTTAACAAGACACCGTGTTTCTTTGGGCCAGGCAAGTCAGTGTTTGTACATTGTGTTTCAGGGATAATGGGGTTTGAACCCACTACAGTGCACGTCTCTGAAATGGACATTACTGAACCGCTGAATGTATCATGTATGACTGCTACTATTTCTTTTAAATAACTGCTTATAAGTGTCTGATCGGAAGCTGTGTCAAACTGTAAGCGACCGTCACACTCAATAATCTTGAGAGAAATATACTTTGTACGGTTATGGTAGTCAGTTTTGTTTAGAGCAACCGTTACTTTGGCTGTCTGCGGCTTGAATCCTTTAGAATACCCGTTCGGTTGACGGCATTTTAGGGTTTTGCGATGACTTTCTTTGTGTCCTTTTCTGAGATACGTAGCTGCTATGTTTGAAGCAATTAAGCGTTCACCTAGTCTGTGAACGGAAGAAATACTTGTAACCAAAGACCAATAAGCTTGCTATTTTGTTGCGTTCTAGCTCCGCTGACTAGAGAGAGAAGTCGAAGCCCGTACGGAGAATGAATATATTTCGCAAGCAGCCGGAAACACAAGCGATTGAACGGGCACAAATTAAACGTATATATACAACATAAAACTATTCTTGGGAAGCGCTACAAAATAGCACACTAAAACACCCAACGGACCAATGGCGGTTAATATTTTCCCAAGTTGGAAATACGACATGAGGGTGAAAAGAGAGCTTTTGACTTGGAAACAAAGAAATTCAAAAGTTCAAAATAAAATTACATAAATAAGGTATTTACTTAGTGAGTTCTGGGGATCTAACATCCCTAACAGTAGTACAACGATGATTTTTAAACCTCTCATAGTCTCGGTCCACAGTTCCCGCATATTTCATCCAGTCATCTGGTCCTTTCATTACCTTGAAGTACTGATAACAGATGTTAAATGGAGATGAGTTTTCCCCAAATATTCGAGACAGGGTTTTATTTGTTTCATCAAAACCAAATTACCGTGCGTTCTTAGATGTAAAAATTACTGTAGAGTTCATATTCCGTTATGTCAAGTTTTCTTTAAAGTATTCTGACTTTTGAGATGTCAACCAGTCTGTAGAAATCAATATTTCTTGTGCGAACAGTCAAAAGTATCACTTGCTACACCACCAAAATTAGATTCACGGATTTCAGCGATGACTGAATTAGTACCTGGAATTCACCAGAAGCGGGGGTTTTGCTGGGACAGACAATTTTTCTGCATAAGGACTTCTATGATTCTGATTTGTGACTGTTCAAACATCTTCTCTTGACATTCCATATGAGCTTCTAGTTAATCCAAATAAACATTCATTGTAGTTTTCCCTTTGCTGCCACTGATATGGCTTCTGATTGTCGATATGGATATATTCCTGGTTTTTCAACTTTCTATCAAGTTCTTATGCTTATTTCGTCTTCAGCGGGAAGCTAGGTTGTTCTCTCCCATTTCCAAGACGAGAACATTTCCACTTCATCCAGAGTTTCTCCACCAAGTGGTTAGCGTGGTATGATGTTACCAATTGCACAAACATCATATTCAGACAGGAAATTCCAAGTTATTGTGTAAACGACTTGCATAAGACTCTGTGTACTAACACACCAGACTGTGGGGTACACATGTTTTAAATTCGGAGAAACTTTTCGGTCAATGAACTGATTGGATAGTTTTATCGCTGTCCAGTAACATTTTCAAAAGAGCGTACGTAATGCATATAACAATCATTAAGGGGTTTACCGATAACAAGTTGAGAAAAAGAATATCAGACAATCTTACTTCGCTATCTAGCCCATTGTGATTACGGTCAAAAATGTAATTAGTTTCATAAAATTACTTTAAAA